AAAAAATCCACCGGAGGGATGTGCGGGAGTAGTTCCATTTACATCCGGATACCTTTTCAATCCTTAGGGGTTGCATATGACGTCTGTGCACCCTTTGCAGTTAGACAGCTTCAAGTCTTCTCTGAAGGATGTCCAACAAGGTTAAGCAGTGTCTTAATGGGAATTTTTGACCATTCCTGTGCATTTGTGAGATCAGACACTGATGTTAGATGATAAGATCTGGCTCTCAGTCTCTGCTCTATTTCATCCCTTAGGGGTTCTATCAGTTTGAGGCCAGGACTCAGTGCTGGCTAGTCAAGTTCATCCACACCAGAGTCTTCCATTACTGTATGGACCTTACTTTGTGCACAGTCATGTTGGAAGAGGGCGCACAGTTTGGACCATGGAACTGTTCAAAATGTTTTCGGATGTTGATTCATTCCTTTCAAAGGAACTACTTAACACTATACAGACAAGTACCTCTCTCCATGAAACTGCCAAACCCGGACTTGTCCATCAGATTTCCAGATAAAGAAGCATCTTTTAACTCTCCAGCAAACTTCTCCCCACTGCTCTGGAGTCCTTTAGCAGCATGCTTTACACCACTTCATCCAATTCTTTGCTTTGCGGTTGGTAATGTATGGTTTGGATACAGCTGCTGGACAATGGAAACCCATTCCATTAAGATCTGAGAATTGTTTTTTAGCTAATCTGAATGCTACATGTAGCTTGGAGGTATGTAGTGATTGGCTCTGTAGAAAGTTTGCAGACTCTCAGGACTATCCTCCAATAATTTGGATGGGTGATCAAATACTTTTGGGAATGGGTAACACACCAATCTTGTCTCTGTAAAGTTCCCTTTCAGTTCATCAGTGCCACCTGGAGAGAATAGATTATTCTCATTAATATATTGGTGATATTTATAAATATTTTATACCTTGATAAAAACTTTATAATCTGTGTCTATGAACTTAAAGAGACTCAGTGATAAAATATTTTTATTAGGGCTGAACTGCAGTGTTTCATCGAGGTAATAATTTAAAAATGATTTAAACCATTTCTATTTACTACTTGGGGAAAAACCGGGGCATTTTTGGTGTTTACAGCAGAAAAGGTTATAATAAAAGTGGTGACACAATGTGCACCTTAGAAAACTGTATAAAAATAACAGATAGGAAAATAAAAATAAAACAAATAGAATATTGTACTGTACAGTATTTTTAAAATATAATAATCTGTATCTGGAGAATAAAAAAAAAAATCAATAACAGCTGTGGACATTTTTACAGTCATGGATATGTGAAAAATAGCAGCAAGACCAGAAATGTGCAAAAAGGAAAAAAAAAATAACAGCAGTATATTATTTTAGATTTATATATTATTATTATAAATTTATATTATATCTGTTACATATAACAGAGCATTAAGTTTTTAGAAATGTCCAAAGGGTCCTGTAGTAATCTAAGTCCATAAGTGGAATTATTTGACTTTAAAAAAATGTCAGAATATTGTAAATCTCATGATTTTTACCTTCAGTCTCTCAATAATACAAGGAAAGCGATGACAATCACACATACAGCACAAAGCACACCAAGTCCGATGACCACCTAATCCAAGTTTTTTCGTGGATGAAAAAAATATAAGTCCATTTAGCAAAATACATTTTTTTAACCCCCAATAACATATCGAGGCCAACTTCATGCTACCTTGTATTTATATTAGGTAGAATTTAAATTTGATTTAGTTATATTAGATTAACTTAGAAACAATGAACATTCTGTCAGTTTTTTTCTGTCCTCCTTTCAAGACATTATTAAAAATGGTATTTAGGTCTGTCTAATAATTTCATATCATGGATTTGATGAAAACAAATGCAAATATCTATTTCTTCAAATAAATGGTTTTACACAAATGTACATACGTACTTGTTGTAATCGTAGTTTTGCTGCCAAACAGAGTCTTCTGAGATTTTTTCACATCAGACTGATTCACTGCCAGCTTCATGGCATTAATTAATGACATCTTGTATGCTTCTCCTGCCTGACAGAAGTATGTTGCTTCATCCTCCTTTTGGATGTTTCGTATGATGAGCGAATACACATTACCCACTTTTATGACCTCGAATTTGAATCTGAAGATCTTAAACGCTGCTTCAAGGTTTACCCTGTCAAAAGACCCTGTTACAACCATTTGGATGGAATATCCACACTTCATCTTGTACCAGTAAAACAGTCCGCTCTCTTGCCCAGTAACATTACAAGTCAGAGTCACATTTTCCCCAAGATTGACTTCAGTTACATGAATTGTCTGAGAAAACACAAGAGTCTGAATCACGCCTAAAGGAGAAAGAAAATAGAGAAATTTTGAATCAACAGATAAGATCCTCAGAGAACAATTAAACAGTGAAATTCAAATATTAATGCTTTGAAAAAAAAATACTATATTTTTTTTTTTAGCTTTGGCACACAGATCAATACAATTTATTCAAAATAGAATGAGAACAAATAACTGCACTTACACATTGTACTTAGAAGAACCAAGGAAAACTGTCCACAGAGCGTCATGGTTGAAAATGGAGCATAACTTTGCTTGCACAGTAGATTTCCTTTCAAGATAGTGCAGACAAGATGCTCTAGTTTTCAAAACAAATGCTGACAGGAAAAAAAAACACAGATTCTACACCTGTAGTTGGGATTTCTTTTTTTCTAAGTCTAATCAGTCAGATGCAAGTCATAATATCACACTTTGCTGCATTTGAGCCCAATATTCAGCCAGACACAGAGTAACATTTAAACGGTTTATTGAAGGGGTGAATAATAGCAGATAAAGCAGCCAAACAGTCACAGTCTTGGCAGAAATATTCTGGTTGAAAGTGCTGGTTTGCAGGGATGAGCAGAAAACCAGGAGATGTAGGCGGTGTCAGAACCAACTGGCCGTGTGGACTGGAGAACTACCAGTAGGGCAAGCGAGCAGCTGAGGCTAACGGAGGAACAGGTAGCACTGAAGCATGGAAACCTAGGCAACCTTAACTAGGAGATCTCAGCTGGCAGGGCATACAGGATCTGGCAGAGTAGAAAACAGGCTGCCAAGAACCTTTGGGACCACCAACTGTGGCACAAAAGCCTACAGAGAAGTGGCACAGCAGATTCACCATGAGACACTACAGATGGTAATGTTTACCTCTGGAGGATCCTACGAGACAAACCGCAGCCACTGAGTGGCCTTGGAGATGAGGAGTGGCCACTAAAGGGCCTCGGAGGGAAACTCTGACAGAGCTCTGTTTCACAACCTCATGGAGCTCAGGAGTCTCTGAATGGCACAGGGCATGCTCAGGGGTCTCTGGACAGCACAGAGCCTGCTCAGGGGTCTCAAGAAAGCACAGAGCGGGCTTGGGAGTTTCTGAACAGCACAAAGCATGCTTGGGGGTCTCTGGACGGCATAGAGCGGGCTCTGAGGTCTATGGATGGCACAGAGCAGGCTTTGACACTGGAAAACAGATGGGCGGTGGATCCAACTTCACCGTCACCTAACAAGACACTGAAGGACACATGGGAGGCGGGACCACCTGGAACCCCACCTGATAGAACACTGGAGATTAGATGGGTGGTTGGTATATCTGGACAGCCACCTCAAAGGCTGAGGACAAGCAACTGTCGCACCCTTGCAGCCTGAGCTATCTCTATAGTTATGCTGCTATAGGTTTAGACTTTTGGAGGACATAGGGACCCCCATTTCATCATTCTGCTTCATTCTCTCTCTATTCTCCTGCTCTGCAGAATCTGTTAGTTCAATCTCTAACGTTATGCTCTCTCTGCTTTTCCTCAGAGTAGCTTTGCCTTGTCTGTTCCTGTTTGGCTGTGACGCCATCCTGGAGAGAAACATCAGCTGTGCTGCTTCCATCAACACCCTTGTTTATAGATGCTGGAGATCGGGCTGATTTCCAGTGTGGTCCTGTTTCTCTGACCGTGACTAAGTGGATGTGCTCTCTTCGTCCTCTGGCATGGGAGCTGGCTCGGAGCTTGTCTGCCTGGCTGTGTGTTTCCTGGATGGGGCCGCCTTTTACAGCTGCTTTTTGTGTCTCTGCTTCTGTCTCCTTGAACCCCAGTCGGCCTCGGCAGATGTCCGCTCACACTGAGACAGGTTCTGCTGGAGGTTTCTTCCTGTTAAAAGGGAGTTTTTCCTCTCCACTGTCGCTACAAGCATGCTTAGTGTGAGGGATTGTATTTGAGTCAATGAGTCAATGCAATTAACTGGTTTTCCTTAGATAGAAAACTTTGTATCAATTTGATTGTATGATCTGGTTGAACTGTAAAGTGCCTTGAGATGACATGTGTTGTGAATTTGGGGCTATATAAATAAACTGAATTTAATTTAATTGGGACACCAGCGCTGGTCACAACAGAGGGAGGGAAGGCGTACTGATGACACCAAACGGGAATAAGTCTTCCTGGTCCCCCAAAAAAAAAATCCACTGCAGCACATCCTTGATATGAGGAGCTCTGCCTGGAGGAGACATGGTCCTCAAAATAACGGCAGAAGATCCTACACATGGGGACAGCTGAGGGTGGTGGAGGTGGTAGCACAGACGACAGGGAACTGGTGGGCATCTAGCCTGGCTTGCCAGAGCAGCCGAGGTGATGTCATGCTGACACACTGGTGAGACAGTGGTGACGTTGGTCCGATACACCAGAAGGGTGTTACTTGACTCGGAGTCAAGTAAAAGTATAAGTACCTTTCCAAAATATGACTTTGGTAAAAGTCCGAGTCGCTGCCTGAAATGTTACTTGAGTAAAAGTCTTAAAGTATCTGAAATGGCTTGCACTTAAGTTTAAGAATTACTGTAAAAATAGATGTACTCATGTAATGTAGTGAAAAGTATAAGTAAAAAGTAAGTGCAGTTTGAATGACAGTTTTTTACATTTTGGTAAACTTTGAAGGTTAAATTCACTTAAAATAATATACACAACCAAGTGTAGGATAAATTTAGACCAAGTTTTATTACTGCTGCTGTTATTGACATAATTACAAAAAAAAAGAAAAAAACGGAAGCTTATTTGGCATCTGAAGAGGGAGTCCAGTTTGAAGCCCCTTTTGTAAATGCGGCCAACATGAAGAAAAAAAAATGTCATATTCCCATGTAAAAGGTATTTGGTTAATGCAGATAAACACCACTAAAACTATAAACAACTACCATAATTATTGTAGAATTTAGCATGAGGCAGGAAGAGTAGAACTTCTGGACTTTTCCTGGTCCCGATTTTCCTGAATCATTAAAACTATGAGAATCTAATTAGAGCTGCTGTGTTTTCGTGAATCAGCTCTAACTATAGAATACACACATTCTGTGTTCTCTTTCATTTTCTTCCACTGTCTCCTGTTTGTTGCACATAATTCCAGTACTGCTGCATAATTCGCATCTTCTCTGGCCTGCAAAAAAAAAGATATTATTAATGACTGAGAAGGTCTGTATAATCAAGATCAGATAAGTAACATGGTGAAGGTACTGCAACGTTTTACAGTGCTTGTCCACTGAGCATTTTGATGATGAATCTCCTTGACATAAATTTTATGTTTAGAACTGACTTTTAAAATCCACTTTTACTGCTAAGTTTTAGGAACATACAGTATTTACTGGCTCAGTTTGTCAGATTAGTTGTTGTGTAGCTAATCAACAATTTACAACTTTTACTGTCTGATATAAAAATCGCATTCCTGCATCTTTTTTGGAGACCATAGATTAAGAAAAAATCATAGAAGCATCCCAATCTTTATTAAACTGTCCAAACTCTTGCAATTAAATGTACTGTACAGCTCCTCACATTCTAGTTTTAAATTTGAACATTTACATTAAAACTAAAACTAAATTAAATTATTCATATTTACCAAATCTTTTGGATGAACAGGAGTTGAACCACCATTAGCAGCATTAGCAAGTGAGGCATTTTTCCCTGTTGATACAAAAGATGTAAACATTTATCAGTTTATCAGTTTTAAACACGCAAATTTATATGAAAAGAAGTTTAATTTCATTCTTCAATGATGAATATTGAATATTTGAAGCAACACTTTTTACATTTTGACTTAAATGCTAGATACATTTGAAATTACAAAAAGATTTTTTGGGTCATTATACAGTGCTTGGTGCGTATCAATGCTCCGTGCAGATTACCATACTCAGAAAACGTGCCTTTTAATTTGAGATGGTCAGAGCCATCGCTGAATGAGTCATGTGACTCAGAGCGCTGCTTTACGGCAGTCTGAACTCCTCTAACAAGCGGTACCTAACAAAGCAAGTAGCTGTTGTTCGCCAGCAAAGCACACACTAGCTTTGGTATTTACAAAAAATAAATTGCTAACCTGATGATTTTTCAGAAACTCTCCTCCAAAGTATGTAGATGATAAGGCAGACCATCACTGTAACACAGCAAAGCAACAGTCCTCCAAGGAAAAGAACAGGCAAGTCTGGCTCTGTTTGAAACAATAAATGACAATTCAGACCTAATCAGCATTATTTGTAAAAAAAAAAAAAAAAAAAAGAAATATGACACAAGCTAATACATTTTTTAAATTAATCACATTTTTGTCATTTTGTTTTTCAGGTTATGTTGACAAAGTAATTTCTGGGAATAATAACCATCCTGTGTGCTTTCCAAAGTGAACATATCCAAGAATAAAATGAGTAAAGATTAAAGGGTAGACTGTGAATACATACTTTTTTCCAGTGTACTTCCACCACCTAACAGTATTTCTCCACAAAGAACCACAGCACAGTAGTAAGTTCCGAAATCCAAAGAGTCCTTCAATGTTTTTGAGAGGTGATAGACGCAACTTCTCTTCCCTGCATAATCAGTGCTTTTACTTGCAGTGTAAATAATACTTGGATGAGAGCTTCCTGATTCAGCTTTGAACCAGTGAACCAAGTTATTTTTTGGATACTGAGGTCTTGTTTCATTACTCGTGGAAAAAAGAGAGCACTGGAGAATCAAGGTGTCTCTGGGTTTGGTTGATGCAGTGTCTGGATTTTGCTCCACATAAACAGTTTTCTGATGTTTATAGTCTGTGAAAGAAGAATAAATGTTTTATGACGAACTATTCCATTTAATTACTGTGATAAAAAAAAAACTTAGCATGATGAACGATTATTATTAAGGACAATAACATTGAGAGGGTTTGTCTTACCATTTACAACTAAGAGGAATCCTTTAATAAATGTTTGTACAAATTCGGTTCCACTTTGACAGAAGTATGTGGCTTCATCTTCTTTGGTAATTGCAGAAATGGTTAGAGATAACTTATCATTTTCTCGGAGAAAATAAAAACGTGTGTTATCAAAAGGCTCCGCCTGAGTAACACTATCAAAAACTCCTGCAGCCATCGTTTGGACCATCATTCCAGGAGACTGTTTATACCACTGAGTGAACCTGTGGTCCTTCGGTGATTGACAAGAGAAGGTGACATTATCACCAGCTTTACGCTCAGTTGTAAAGATCAAAGGAGGAAAACCTTCAGTCTTATGAAGATCTTAAGAAAAAGACAAAAATATTCTCATACAGTTGAAAACAAAAAGCTAAACAAAAATGTTATATTTCTGCAAGTAATTGTCTCAATAGAAATAAATAGTACTTACACAAAATAAAGAAAAGAATCAAGCCCATATGTGCTTGCATCTTGGTTGTGAACAAGTCTTTTTCTGTACTACTTAAGTCTTTCTAACCAATGGAACATTTGGTCTCAAGATTATCAGGCTTTGCAACAAGAAGACAAGGTGATTGGTTGAAGGGTAAATGAAAATCCGCCTACAGTTCCTCACAAAACTGTTCAGACCCCATGAACATTAAAAAAAAACTTTTTTGTTAAAACACTTCAGTGTTCTTTCTTCCCATGATTTTTTAATTTTTTTATCATTGTCATAAACAGATGTTTGATTTCCAAGTGGAAGGTGTCAAAAAGACTGGAAAATGTTGGTGTATAGCATATGCAGTCTAGAATTGATAGTTCCATGCCTTGAAAACATCTAAATAGCATAATGCACCATTGAATCAGGGTCTTTAAAGATGTATATTGAGGTCTTTTGCTTGCAAATAATAGACTTTGTGGTGTCATCAGCAAGCTCCTTTATCTTTGCCACATCACACATAAAGAGACAATAGCAGGTGGCTTTTTAAAACACCACAGTGATAATTTATTTGATAATTCATAACATATGGGTGGAGGCAATTCCTTACAGGTGATCCTTATTTGTGATATGCAACAGGTGAGCCACATTGGGTTTCCATACTGACTGTGCAAATGGTGCCAATACCATCAACATAGTAAACATTATGTTTTTTCTGTTTTTTTGTTTTTTTTTACAGTGTCATTTAATATTTGCGGTTTTGTATTAAACAAAAGCTATATGTGATAAAATGTTAATTTACTTCATGAATACCATTCAGTAGATACTCCTTTATATATACTTAAAGTTCATCTGTGACAGTAAAGGTAAGCAGGACTGTATGCTTGAACTGGTAAGTGTCATACTGTGTGCTGTCTCATGTGTAAGGGAAGCTCAGGCTGCGGTAAAGCAGTTCTCTGGATCACATGACCTTTCAGTGACAGAGCTGACCTTCTTAGGTTAGATCTGAGAGAAGAAGCCTGCACATAGTAGCAATATGCAACAAGTGCTGTATATCAACCTGAAAACAAAAAAAAGTTTAATATATCTGAAATTATGGTAATACCTGGGTCGAAGTGTTGCTTTAATGTGAACAAACATTTTACTCTTGCAACTTAAGTGGTTACAGAAAAGAACATTTTATTAATTTTTGATCTAAATAAATTGAAATGGAAAGGAAAATAGGATGTTTTTGATATTCACAGCAACATTGGTGCCATCAACAAGTGATAGTATGCGAATTCTACTGAAATGACATACATATTGAACTTCCTTTTTGCTGCTTTTTTCTAATACTGAGCCAATAAAAAAGCCCTGTTTTATATTACTGAATCTTGAACTGTAGAACCCTGCTTCCAGAGTCACTCTAAAAATAAACAGCTGCTTGCAGCATGATTATATCTCCGTAATTCACCTTGTAAAAGTAAAACATTGCATTTTAAAAAGCAGTCAAGCTGCATGTCAAAGTCACAGAGTCAAAATGTAAGTATATTATTGGACCAATATTTTAATAAAGAATGTTTTAAAGTAAAGGTAAATAGGAAAAGATAGAGATAAACTGTTACCATTAAAAAGCAGCAAAACAATGAAACAAACTCAGTTTTGGAAAAAGGGTATTAAATTGTAATGTTTGTAACATAATTTCCAAAATGTATTATCATGATGATTTTAAAATTTATATACTTACCTTTACACTTTATATACAAAATGAAAGATAAAACCAGCTGCTATTACAAACCATACATAAGAGTTACGGGATGACAGGCAGCTTTAAGAGTTAAAGATAGAAGTTCCACCAACTTATATATATATATATAGGGGAGGGGGGCTGTGGGTTTACATCAACACAACTGGTGTAAAAATGCTAGATCGGTCACCAGCTTCTACTCTCCAGACATTGAGCTTTTGACTGTTAATTGCAGACCTATCAATCTGCCTAGGGTTTCATGATCTTGGCACCTTTAGTGTGGGTTTTGCTCCTTGTTGGCAGATTATTAGAGCTTCTTGCGAAACGAACATTCAATCTATTCCAGCTTGCCTACCAACAGAACCGCTCCACTGAGGAGGCCATGTCCTCTGCCCTAAACCTGAACCTGACACAAATCACACCTGGAGGGGAAAAACCAAGTGCGGATGCTGTTCCTGGACTTAGGTTCAGCTTTCAACACCAGCATCCCACAGCATCTGATAGGAAAACTGGAACATAAGGGGCTTTAGCAGACCCATTTGCAACTGGATGCTAGACTTCCTCACCAACAGACCTCAGTCACTGCGGGTCAGACAGAACACCTCTGATGTCATCACCTTGAACACAGGCTCCCCTCAGGGCTGTGTCCCAGGCCCCCTGGTGTTAACTCTGATGAAACACAACTGCGGCGCCAGGTTCACCACCTATCACATCATAAAGATTGCAGACGACACTTCTATTGTGGGCCTCATCAGAAACGACAATGACCAGGACAACAGAGAGCTGCAGAGGTGGTCAGCAACTACAAATTCCTGGGTGCACAACACAGACAATCTCACCTGGGCTGTAAACACCACCTCATTGGTCAAGAGGGCACAGAAGCGATCATTGGGGCTCCTCTTCCCTCCCTTATGGACATTTCATCCCACCGCTGTGTGTCCCGATCCCATAACATCATCAGTGACCCTTCACACCCCCACCATGGACTGTTCTCCCTGCTGACCTCTGGGAAGAGGCAGCAGCGAGCAGGAAGAGCGTTTGTGTGTGAGCAAAAACTACCAGTTTAGACCTGGTGTCCTCAGGATTCTGTTTTCAATAGTTTTTTCAATGCAAAAATGTACTGCAAAGTGAAGACTTTTGACAGCGGCTATTAATGTAAGTTAACTGCATATTTCAGTTAATATTTGAGTTGTTCTGTAACTCACTGAAAGGTAACAGATGTTCAGTAGTTAACAGATGTTTGGTAGCACAGTTTATTGCCATTTTTTCAGTGGTTTATGTCAATTAAAGCATGTTCCACAAAAATCAAAGATCAAATCAGAGGCATTGAGAAGTTCTAAGTTCTATGCTCATTTGCAAACTGAACATCAAAGTTTTTATTTCTTGCACATGATTGATTCATATGAATACCTAAAACGCAAAAAACATAACTTACACATAAATAAAAAAGCCACAAGTTGTTTGCAATATATAGATGAAAAGAATCCCAAATACTTATTTTAATAAAAATACTTTAATCCTCCTTGGATCTTTGTAAGGTAAAACCTTTTGAAAAGCAAAACCACACATCAAGATATGTTGATAACATGACATTCCCCTTTCAAAGTCTTGGAGCGCACAATTACATATAAAACTGTCAAAACATCAGTGAGAAAATTGTACATTTAACTGTATACAGACTCTCCACAGAGACAATAATACAGAGATGTGATTAAAAATGTAAATTTAACAAGAAACACATAATTTCACAACACAATGCACAATAATATTTCACAAAAGCATTCAGTTAAATTAAAAAGGCATTTTTTTTCAAGATATGAAAAAAACACCTCAAATTCAAATTAGCTATCAACATAGTAGTAATCTGGAATGTTTTACTAAGGCGTCTGTTTCTTATCATCTAATAGATCTTTTTAATTCGAAAGATAACATCACTATGTATAAATATAAAAAAATAATGACATAGGTTGAAGTGCACTATATTGCCAAAAGTATTTGTTCACCTCCCTCACTTCACATATGAATTTAAGTTACATCCCATTTTCAATCCATAGGGGTGCCCGTATGACGTCAGTCCATATTTATCAGTTAGAACAGCTTCAAGTTTTCTTTGTTGCAGGTATTCCTCTCCGTACTTTGCATGGAAGATTGGTTACCAGGTTTACTGATATGCAGGTCAGGAGCACTCATGCAAAATAAAGCAAGGATTATAAAATAATTTATTTACTCATAATAATATTATAATGAACACAATTGCAGTGACTTGGCAATTACATGACTGAAGGCAAGTCAATTTGCAGGTCAGGAAGGGCAAGTCAAAGACATGTCAAGTCTTTTGTTAATTTTAACAAAAGACTCTATGACACCTGTCTCTCAGTGTCTTCTCTAATTCATCCCAAAAGGGTTCTATCAGGTCGAGATCATGACTTTGTGCTGCCTATTCAAATTCATCCACACCAGAGTTTGCCATTAATGTATGGACCTTACTTTATGCACTGGTTTACAGT